GAAAATGCAGTTGCTGCTTTCCTCGATATCCTTCATCGATGTTTCGTCGACTTTGCAATTTTACGCAACACGGAATGAGTTCACGGTTCTTACGAATATACACTTATGATTGCAACGAGATCGACGAAGGGAAAAGCCTCGATCTAAATCATTTCTCGAAGATCACACGATTCGATAAAGATTTCTCGCTTGAATCAAATCTTATCGCGAGAAACTGATCGATTGTAAATTCGCAGAATTTGCGAATAGGAAGATAATCGATTAATCATCTTAATATTTTTAATATTGCTGATTTATTAATATTACTGGTATTTATATATTATTATTTATTATTATTATTATTAATATTTATTACTATTATTATTAATACTTATTATTATGAATAATTTGGAATCTGTAACATTTTTTTGCATTGGTATTTATATATATTAATATTATAAATAATTTAGAATCTATAACATTTTGCAGGATTTTCCGCGTCTTCGATCCTATACGTGTATATTTGCATAGCCAATGATGACGGCGGGTTTTCTCGAAAGTTACCAGCGAAGACTCATCCGTTTCCGAAGACGAGATGGCTGTATCTCATTGCCCCACGTTGTCGTTGTTCCGTCACGGCTCTGTCGCGGTTCACCGAGCGGCGCGTGATGTCACGACGTATTGTATTTCGCTTATCGGCGCCGGATGCCGATTCCTCGTTCAACCCAGCAGCAGCATTTCAGGAATGCGAATGCCATGGTTTTCTGCGGCGACGACGAAGACGGCGACGGAGACGGCGACGGAGACAGTGACGGAGACGGTGACCTTCGCCCCGGAGATCGGCTTTGCCCCGGGGGGTTAATCGATATACCTTCTACGCATTACGCCTCGTCGTTTCCGTTCTTTTCGCGTCACCGGAGTATCATGTGAGGTGGTAGTCTCCGCTCATTCAACTTCCGGTTGAAACATACACCGTTCATATCGTGCTCGTTTGTTAATTCAATAGCGTCCTTGGTATATTTTACCTCTTTTCGCATCATTCGAGAATTTTTCTTCAATTTCCCTTGTACACAGATACGTGTAAGAAAGATGAAGTCGATATTTTTTCGTCGGAAATTGAGAGAAATTTAAAAAAAGCTGAAAACTAGCTCAATAATTTCGAAGAGAATTCAATTTGGCGAGAGGCGTTGAATTTTACCTGTTTATTTCAGTTTTTAATATGTCTTTTTACAGGACGATTAAAAGCATGCTTTAATACTATCGATCGCAGCATTAGATCTTACTTGATGTCATCGATAATATCAGATTTCTCGTATTAAAGTCGCCCGCGCTTTTCCGAGCTCAATCGAGAGAGACTGGTTATTATCCGGAGATTGTGTATTTCTCTTTTGTGATTGGGGCTCTCACATATATATGTAATACAGTTTGTCGCGGCCATCAGAACATTGCGGATCGATGTTATGACAATAACCGAGCGCGGTAGCGTATTCTTGTTTTCAAAACACCGTCCCTCTTCGTGTATACGAGGATCATCCTGGCTCTCGCTGCTGCAGGAAATCGTACACCCCGGTGGCAGCTACGGCTGTACGAAGAGAAGAGAGATTTGCGTCGCTACATTAAAATCCATTTTTCTCTCTTTCTCTTTCTATTCTCGAGTCGGTCCTCCGAGCAATTTTACGCTGATAGAGAATAACGTGAATATATTTCGCGATGGAAAAGTCACATTTTGCGGAAAAAATCTGAATCGTGAAATGTCATTTCATGGTTTAATATTATCAGATATATTAATCAGAGATCTAACACTACCGATATTAATTAGAGCTTTAATGGGGAAAACGTCACAGGTATAAAAAATGAAAATCTCAAGAGCAGCTATTTATTTAGAAACGAGAAGTTTTCTTAGTACGAGAAGTTTTCTTTTATTTGAAAGAAATTATATCATTTTATATAATTTTAGTAATTCGATGCATTCTCTTTCTTTTTCTCTTATTTATTATATCTCACATTTTTATTGAATTTTCAAGGAACTTAATATATGAGTAAAGTGTTATTCGAAGGAGTATCTTGTCGAATCTTTAATTTTGAAAACTTTGATATTAATCTTATCATGCTTTTAATAATTAAGTCCATAATTACGTCCATAATAAGAATTGGCTTTAGATATCTACTATATATGCTCATTTATTAAATTTTCAAGGAACTTAACATATGAATAAAATATTATTCGAAAGAGTGTTATGTCGAATTTTTAATTTTGAAAACTTTGATATTAATCTTATCATGCTTTTAATAATTAAGTCATCAATAATAATAAATAATTGGCTTTAGATATCTACTATATATGCTCTATACATCACAGAGGTAGATATTAGAATACATAATACGACTACTCTTATTCTTGCACCTCGAATTCGTTGACGAGATAACTTTTTACTAAACTCGTGATTGATAAAAATAAAAGAAAATAAAAATAGAAAAAGGATCCGCGTCATTCGAGAAGGCTCGTGCATGACGTTCGTGAGATCACCGTGCGATCGATGCATGAGCACGACGCGTCACGCGTGTATTCCTTGTTTCCACAACACGTCTCTTTGGCAGGACGAGGCCTGCTGGCGCGATATACCGGGAAATTTTACACCCAGTGTCCGTGTCATGCCGGACGTCTTGTTTGGCGAATCCATCTCTAGCCCGGAGCACGTGTCCGCGTTTTCGCGATCCGTCAACCGGCAACAGTATCATCGAACCTACCTACTGGCGATGTTGTAGACACGTAATATCCCGTGTAACGGATCGAAATACATGACGTTCGACTTTTGCACTGCGACCGATTGCTGTGAATCACGGTATATTTACTGAGAAAAGTTATCGAGCATCTTAGTCGTTCTTGCTTAGCACGAATTTGCTTTCAATTTTCCATACATTTGCGTCTAATTCATTTGAGAATCGCATATACTTGAGAAAGAAAAGTACTATTTCTTCAGATATTTATTAGAAATATTTTATTACAAATATTATTATTATTATAAATACTTTACAAATTTTCTTTCAAATATCTTTAATTAGAATTGAATAAGATTTAATATTTAATATAAATATATAGTTTATCATATTTATATTTATTACAGAATGAGAAAAAAAATGAGAGCATGTATACTCTGCATTTATTTTGTTGCTCATAAATGTTCACATAACAAATAATTTGAAGAGGTAGAAGACTAGTTCTTATGTCACAGATTTTTTTTCAATGTTACTGCGAAATATTCTAAGATATATGATATTCATTTCCCAGTTTCTCCCCACAGTCATTTTACGCTTTGAGAATTTCTTTCACGCATTTTACGAGTGCGTGCGAAGCAATTTGTGCGACCGTTAACATTCGCGGTTACGACTCGTACGATGTCAATTACACGATATAAAACTGTTTTGCTATTTAACACGTAATCTAGTCTTCTTCTATTCCATGAAAAAAAATTTTTTTTTATAAAGATTGAACAAAATTAATCAAAATTTCTATTATATTTATATTACATACGATCTAATATAATATGTATAGTGTATTTAATATAACATAACAAAAATTTAATTCAACCGATGATTCTGTTTTTTAGGAATAGCTTAAAAATATTTGAGTCTTCCTTTTAACAGGGATCTTCATTTTAATTCTAATTTCTCGTATATATTATCATTCAACGATATATCACGGTATCTTGTAACAATGAATAATAAAATACGCGACTTGTGTGTGTGTGTTTTTGGCAGTGGATAAATTTCTTTTGGCCGACTAATCGGAGCGACTTTCGTCTTTTCGTTTCCTCCGCATTTTCGCTTCCTCCCGAGTTCGTTCGCTTTTATTCAGTCTCGTGGGCGCTTCTTTTTTTTCTTTCTCTTTCCCTATTTCGCCCGCGGCGCGCACGTAAGTTATTGGTGTCCAGTTACATCCAGTTCCAGTTACACGTGCCGCGGGGCACCGATGCACTCGATGCTGGTCCCTCGGTCTCCCTTCCCACCTCTCCTCTCTCCCCTTTCCACCCTCCCTCCCCCCGCCTACCGTATGCAGCACTCGGGTACTTCCGAGTACGTGCAACTCGCTCTTTCTCTCTCTCTCTTTCTCTCGTTCTCTCCGGCGTTTTGCGATTTTATCGCATCGCAAAAAAAAACAAAGATTATCGTACTGTTTTAATGGAAGTTGCGTTTTGCGAGCTTCGCGTACCGCGAAGAAAAATTCAATATTGCCGCGACATATTATCGGGTTTTTACATAACATGGATAAATTACGAGTTTTAAATTGTATTTTATGTGTAGAATTTTTCTTGGAACCTTTTTCCTTTCTATTCTTCGCGCGAGCGCATCTTAATACACAATTACATTGATAAAATGTAATAATTTATATTGTCGAGTAGTAAATTTTAAGATCGCAGATCTGCAATGAGATGTTATTATTGTCTTTAATAATTCCTCCTAAGTTAGTCAAACATTTAAATTCGTGCTTGCTAATTGAAAAAAGAGCGACTAATTCAGAATATCCTTCTTCTTTTTGTCCCTCTTCTATCTCTCTCTCGCTCGCTCGTGATTTATCGCTTTGTATATCGACTCCCGGCACTAAACATAAAACCTGTGTGGGCCTCGGGTGTCCCGAGGTACAAGTTCCTCTTAAATGGGTCAATTGTTTTGCCCGGGCGAGATTTCTGAGAATTGCGTTACGCATTCACGTGCGCGCGGATCAACCGATCGATGACGGAAAGAAGGAGACAGCGAGCGCGCTGTCCATTGTCCAAGTTCTCGGAGTAATCGTCACGTCCGATCGTCGTCTCGGAATTCGCGATTGCGCGTCTCGGTTTGCTGTCTTTTCGTTGCCGCATCTATCGCTCGAATATTTCTTCGATCATCGATGTAAAATCATATACAAGCTCTGCGCAGAAGAGGAGTTTCCAAAAAACTTGCCTAACGTCTCGCTTTATCGTAGAAAAATAAAAAGATATAAATTAGCGTATGTAATAATATCGAATTTTTTTTTATTGCAGTGAGCAGTTTCGAGCTGCAGAGTAGCTGCATCGGCGGCCCCTCAAAGGACTTGGACGCCACCGCGATGACCGGCAGCCTGGGTCGCGGCCTGACGCATCATGTCTCTTCCCTGAGCCATCATCACCATCATCATTCCCTTCCTAATCTGCACAGCCCCAACCCCGTGGTCTCCATGCACTCCGCGGCCAGCGGGTCGACGCACCATCACCTGGATGACAAGGGCTCGTCGCCCATAGGCGCCCTTCACAGCACCACCAATAGCAATCCTTCCACGCCGTCCGCACCCTCCACGCCCACCACGGCCACGGCGGATAGCGGCGCGACCGTCACCGCATCCGGCGCGAGCAACCCTAACGGCGGCTCCTCCGTCGCCGTCGCCGCCAACAGCAAGCCGCCCTTCAGCTACGTCGCCCTGATCGCCATGGCGATCCAACACAGCCCGCAAAAGAGGGCGACTCTCAGCGAGATCTACGCTTACATCACCGCCAAGTTTCCGTACTTTGAGAAGAACAAGAAGGGATGGCAGAACTCCATCAGACACAATCTATCGTTAAACGAATGCTTTGTCAAGGTGCCCCGGGAAGGCGGCGGCGAGAGAAAGGGCAACTTTTGGACCCTCGGTAAATTGATACTGCCGGCTATGTATCTTTTATAAGTTTGATTAATTTTACTCTTACAGGTAATTAAGGGATTATTAAGAATTTACTTTTAATAGCTAATTTGCAATTTTCCGATTCAGAATCTAGTTTTCAATTTTCCTACATTTATTTTTAAAAGTCCTATTAAAAGATGGATCTAAAAACAAGTTGATTTATAATCAATAATCATTTCATAGAAGTGGAATCACTTTATTTTAATTTACGAGATTTTTACCACACATATGATTATATATATTTTTGTGGCGTCAAACTGTCTGCATGTTTCATAAATATTTATTATCTAAATGTGCCTTTTTCGCATTATCGTGTAGATCCGCAGTACGAAGACATGTTTGAGAACGGCAATTATCGAAGGCGGAGACGAATGAAGCGTCCCTATAGAAACGCCCCATATCATAAACAACTATTCGGCGATCCATTCTCGACAACTCATGTACATTTGGGACCTAGGAACATTTTCGGCCACTCACCCCCTTCGTACGCCCCTCCTCCTTATACGCGATACGATACGAGGTATTTTCAAATATTGCGCGCGAATATAACATATTTGTGTTAACATTAATGTATACATTTCTTAAAAGTTCGCAAAAAATTAATTTAAAAGTTTTAAAACGAAGAAAATCAATGATATTTATTTTTTAATTATTAATAATATTTACGTTAATATATTCTTTCTTCCTAAAAGTATAGAATTTCTTCCTGAGTTATTAATATATCTTCATACATATCTTAAATCTCAGAAAATATAAAAGTCTTCCCTTTTATTAAAGCCCGTGGAGCCTTCAACAATCGCAGCTCTCGTACAATCATTGTCAATCGGTGAGTTTTCACATTGTATAGAGATAATAAATATATATTAAATATCGAGAAGATAAGAAGATAATTCAATTCTTTTAAAGAGAAACATTTAATTATTACGTCATCAGTTCGGATCGAATCATTGGTTTTCTCAATTACAGCTGCAATCGCAATTGCAGCCGATGCAGTCGATGCAAATCCCGGCTATGAACGGCTACAGTCAACTGGGTACCTCGTTAAGTGAGTCAATATTCTCGCATTTTGTACCCTCTTTTGTCGAACGGACTAACGCCGAACGACCAGACAAAGCGTTTCAAGGCAATTACCTGGATGTTCCAGGTGGAACGGCCGGATCGCCTAGTTCCATGGGCGGCGGCTCCTTCGGCAACAGCTTCGCTGCGTGCAGCAGAAGGCACGAATCCGCGATGACCACGGATACGATGCCCGGGAGATGTTATTGGCCCGATAGTAAGCGATTTTAATAAATATTGTTTCTCTATATATGTCCACCTATGTCGCTGTGAGTTTAAAGAGCCGCTAATGTATATATAATACAAGATTATTTTCAATTGGATCGCTTTAAGCATATATAACTTGTAATTATATATGTATTTTGTTTTATTATTTAAATATTTATTATTTTAAATATCGCAATATATATAAAATTCTCTTAACAATTCTGCTTATCTCGAAAGTTTGTATTCGAATCTCGACTGGAGAATTTGTAACGAAAGAAACATGTAGGAGAGAGTATCGGTCTCGGAGTATCTTGTATATCGTTTGTTAACTGTTGCAGTGGTAAACGTAAAGGAGGAACCCGGGACTAACACCGTGTCGACCAGCGGTGTCGGCAGTGTCGGCGTCCCATCCGGCATGATGAGCTCCGCCGTGTCGTCGGGTGTCTCCACGACGGGATTCGCACCCATGGAGTTTCAAACGCGTTCCAAGTGCTTTATGTGAACTCGCGAAGAACCGTCAATTAAATTGATGAAAAATTGCAGTGACAATTCGAGGATCGAGGGACGACGATTTTGCGCGACTTGCAATGATGAGACGGATTCGCCGAATGGTGAGCGATACACTTGAATAAATCCGGCTAACGTGGAATAACATATCCGCAGATTAAATTGAACAGGTATTATTGAATAATATTCGATAATTATTGAATAATATTATTGAATAATTATTTATTAATATTATTTGCGAAGAATCTAACCGTACGCGGAAATAGGGATAAACATTTGTAAAACTCGTGTAAAATCGTTGTTGTGTTAATTCGATGTTAAACAAACTCGTCATGTTGCGTCTTTTACTGCGTAAGCGTTGTTCGCTGTTGATACGTAAGCAATACGCAATGTACGCGAATATAATCGCGCTTATCGTATGAAATGATACGATGCGGTATCCTGTAACGACTGAATCCTTTCACGAGAATGATACAACTATCGCGGTTGCATCTGTTATCTGGTTCCGAGTGTCGGAGATATATACCGCGCGACGAAAGCAAAACGATTACGAAATGATCTCTTAACTTTGTCTTTTTTGACGGTAACGTACTTGAAAATACCTCTTATCCTTGTACATCGTTTTACGGATCACTTCGACAGTATTTAACATTTCGATGAAAAATTTTGAATGAGTGGCTAATGAGAGTTTGCGCATAACAAAAATGAGATATCATTTCGATCGCGATAAAATGGAGGCACGCATAGTAATATAATAATAATACAAATTTATCGGAAAGAATTTTTTTTCCGGATCAACATATAAGATGCAATAAGATAATAATATAATTAAAATTTAATTATTAATAGTTCAAGTTTAGTTATATAATTTTATTGTATCTTATTTTATAATTTATTCTAGATTTTATTTTATCTTATTCTATTTTTAGTTTATTGTTTCTCTTCTTATTATTGTAATGAGTTTCCTCGTATATTTTGTTAAATAAATAAATAAATGATAAAATTATTAATAATGTAAATTTATTCGTAGAATAACACGCATGTGAAATTTTTATGCATTATCATGCGATTTTTCTCTGTATGTCTTGAGACATGATCGAATGATATCTCTTCTATTATATGAATATTTGCGATAGCTTTTAATTAATTCAAATCTATTATAAAAGAGAGCGATACAAAGTGTAGAGAAAACCATCTTGTTGTAGAGAGTTTCCTCTTATATATACATATATAGAATTTAATAAATAAAGCTATATATATGTTTAATCGTACAAATATGTTTTATGTCAACTATAGAAACTAGAATGAAATCGTTTCCGTGACAATCGCAATGTAAATATATGATTAGTGTAGATGTGTTAATAACTTTAAAACAAATTATATTGCGAATTAATTAATCTTATATGTATAGATCAACTAAAGTTAATTTCTATTAAATGTAATGTCTTTCCCGTTCAAATTATTATACACTGAAATGTATATGTGCATAAACATCGAATGTTGTATACAATTCAACAAAAATTAACATATAAAAAAGTGTAACAGTGATTATATAAGAAATAATGAGAGAATAAATCTTCATTATTTATTATCGACAAAACAAAATCACAATTCTCTTTTAGAAAGTCAGTTTATACATGAGGTAATTTTATTATTAACTTATTTTATAATTTTACTATTACTTATATTTCAGAAATTATATTTATTTCAATTAGATATTTCATAGATTAAAAATAATATTTATATTTTGTAAGATATATGATACACATTATATGTCAAAAATTTCATTTATGATTATAAAAATTTATAAAATTGAATACGTAGAATATATATTGCGAGACATCTGTCTAATAATGCGAAATGCACTTGCAAAATTGTGCATTCTTTTTCTTAAAAAAATTTAATTTTAACATTGTGCATTTTATGAAACATATTGAAATAGCCATTGAGAAAGAAACTCCTTTGGTAAATGGTTAGTTGAGAATAGTTTCTACGTGGCACAGTCGTTGTGTCTTAGAATACAATTTCTCTCGGCACAGGATGTCGAAGAGAAAAGTATATATCGAAGAGAGAGAGAGAGAGAGGGAGGAAGGGAGAGAGAAAATTCTGAATCCCAATGGCCGGCGAGTGTTTGCGAGCGGCGATGTTTTGCAAACAAGCCGTGCCACCGTGGGCTTTAATATTCTCCGTAAAATCTGGAACAGTACGAGCGACCGCTGCCGAGTTCCCGCCGCGCGTCAACACCGTGCGTGCACCGAAGCGGGAATAGCACGTGCATCTTATTTTCTGACCTGGGAAATACACCGTACGAAAAGGAGCACGTCGATGACATCGTTGGAGCTTTTCTCTCCTAGAGGCTGCAAATAAATTTTGCCACTTGCCGGATATGTAATTGCGAAGAACGTGCGAAATAGTGCGGCGCAGCCAGTCTGCAGTGCGCTTCTTTAATATAGACTGTGTAACTGAAAGGTAAATTATGAAAGTTGCACAGTGTAAAGTTTGATGTAAACACAAAACATTTCTGCACATATAATGTGTGTTTTCTAATTGAATAAATATTAAAAATATACATAAATTTGATTCATTTGGATAAGAGAATATAGATTTTTATCTCTATCTATGAGTATTTTGAAATTATGGTTCTACTCTCATAATATAGATTAAAGAAATAAAAGAACAAAATTGTTTTTAAAATTATTTTTAAAATTGTTTTCAAAAAATACGACTTTACAATTCTTCGAATTTTTATTTTTTTGCATCATCTCTTATCTAATTATATTTTTTCGATACTTTTCCAATTTCTTCGAGATTTAAATTTTGCCAAAATATCCGAATTTATTATGCACTCCAGTACAAAATCAATATAACTTTTATGTAAGATATTAAAATAATATCGATATATTATGTGATTATACAGTTGTCATTTGCTTAATTAAATAATACATAATGATATAATAATATTTCTACGCACGAGGGAATTGAAATCTGAGAGATATCACTTTATACTTCTTCGAACTCTCATCTAGATTCCTCGAATTTCTTTTGGCTCTTAGAAATGTACGCTTTACATGACGCAGTTTGACACATTCAACATAAACATCAGATCTGTTTTATCAAACAGACACGATAGCGGACTCAACTCAATCATCGGTATAGAATGAGCCACATATGTATTACAAAGCGCGATTAAAACGGACAGTAAAAATTAATAATTATCACAAGTATACTGTTACATAAGATAGGTGTATTATTTTTAATTGTCTTAAAGAGATAATTTAACTAAATTTAATTTGTAATAAAATAATGTAATTTATATCGCTATTATAAAACGGAATCGGAGATTAACTATAAGATATATATTTTTTTCAGCAAACTTTTATATCGAGTTCTTCAAGAAATACACTATTTCTTCATTCGGTGGCCGTAAGATAATGGATTTAGAATGAATTTCAGACACGCTGAAAATCTCCAAACGAATGGGCACCGTATAGAAAGCACGTATGTTGAATGACGCGCAACAGCTGTATGCAACTTCCAGTCGCGATCGTTCCCTATGTTCGTAAGATGAATATATACGAGCGATGAGAAAGACAATGATCTCTAGAATAATTAACATATTAATAAATATGTTTTCGAGTCTTAAGTAGTTTCAATTAAATATTTAACGGATGAAATGTCTTGCATATTCCGAAATTATTTTATATTTATAATTACATTTTATGTTGTCTATTCCTATCAAAATTATTGTTTATACTAAAGTATATTTTAGTTATCTCTTTTAAATAACGTTTAACAAAGCAATTTACACGTAAAACCTTTTTTCTGATTTTTCTTTATTATTGATAAAATTATGTGCTTAAATTCTCGTAATTTCGCCGGCTGTGACTTATTTTTTAAATTCGCGCGATTTGTCGGGACGGCTACGAGAAAAAAAAGTTTCAACATTACGGTCAGATCGTAAGCCTTCGCGTGCCAGAAACGCGAGGAACGCGCGAGATTCACACGCACGTGCACATCGTGCGTGGCGATGCGTGTAAGTGGAGAGTAGCGGTGACATATAGCGGCCGTACCGACCATTTAGGCGACTATTAGCAGCTTCACGGGATGTTTCACGCACGTGCGTTTCTTATAACGGTGGTCTGCGAGCTCTTTTTCTCTCTCTTCTCTATCTTTCTCTATCTACCTCTTGAAAACAGGAGTGATGGGGAGAGAGGGGATTTCTCGCACATCAATCTTGCAATCGCTTGAAATCATACGCAAAACTTTTTGCACTCATCATATAAATCATATAAAAATGTATACAAAATATGTGCGAGAGCGAAATTTTCTTTTGATTGTAAATAAACAAATAAAATGAAAATATTGATGATAATTCAGTTTCGTAAAGTAAATCAATTAATTGTTTTAATTAATTTAATTTTACACATACATAATTTCTTAGATAACTTTAAAATGTCTTTTAAATATGTTTAATTTTTATTTTGTCAAAAGACAGAGGATCCATTTCTTGGCTTATACATTATCTTCGCGTGTTTGTTATCAAATGCAAGTAATGGAAACAAGTCCTATTTAAAATTAAGCGGACGATAATCATAAATTTTTCCGTGATTACTTTCTCTGATTTTGACAAATGCAAATGTCAATAATGAATATGTTTCGGGAAATCTTTCGCGAAACCAGTCGAGCTTTACTTTGGGCGGTAAGTATCCCTCGAGGTAATTTCACATCGAAGTTAATTTTCTATTTTTCGAGAACCGTGTTCCAGAAAAAAAATGCGAATAAGAAAAACCATCTATTTTTAGCGCACGCGTGCACGATAGAGATATTTTGCTTCGTTCCCATTCGATTATAATACAGAAATTAGATACTACGCTATAATATATTATTAGTAGACTTAATTAAGCATCGTAACAAAATTAAATTGAACGAACTGAGAGTACGTCAGGTATCGCCTGATTTATGTCGGTCCTCGCGTATGGAAACTAAAGGCCATAAATTTGTAATGTCGGACGGAATGAACGTTGAAACATATTGGTTCCTCGTCAATCTATCTCAATTACTAATATTGTCAACTAAACTCAAGTTTATGATATATCAATCTCGTCCTTTATTTTGCAAACATTCAAAATTTATTACACG